TTTCTAAAAGACGAGCACGAATTATAAAAAGTCCTATACTTGACGCTGGCTAATGCACAAATCGTGCCAGAGCCATAAAAAAAAAAAAAAAAAAATTACAAATTTACAATAATATTGTAAAGTTTTAACTTTTATTTGTTTTTAAAAGTGACATTAGGATTTTTTTTTAAATAATTTTATGGCCTGGTAACGAGACCTTAATACGGGTTGCAGACCAAGAGCTAAGCTAAGTTAGTTTAGCTTAGCTGGCATAGCTGACGCAGTTTTCCATACTTGAGTGCAGACCGCAAACTATGCGAACTAAGCTATGGGAGCTAACTAAAATATGCGAAGCTAAGTTAGTTGTGTATGCCGATGCGCAGCTACACGAGCTAAGCTAAGCCACTCCCGCTACCCCGCACATACTTCGCCAGTGCTGACTCAACACTGACTGAGCTTTGGCTTAGCTGTTGGTGTGCACGCTATTTATTTCTAGCTTAGCTTAGCCTAGCATGCTTGGCATAGCTTAGTTTAGCCTTACCATAGCTTAGTTTTCGGTCTGCAACCGGCTTTAAGCCATGACCTTCTTATTCCGTGATATTGTATGACATTAGGAATACATTTAATCCAGAGACAATATCACGGAATAAGGTGCTACGGCGCGGTTCACGGCTAAGAACAGCAGCTCGCATCTACGCTGTCGACTTTGCGGTAATGTATCGACATGCCTCTTGGCTACGAACGAAGCGTTTTCGACAATACAATTACGCAAAAGCGGTAGTGTATGTAGAATACTTTTCGACACCAATATGGCTAGACCCCCAGGTCATAAAATCCAAAAAAAAAAAATAACATATACTGTATATCTATATGCCACTAATATTACCATGAGAAAAATTTTCCCTATTTTGTGGGGTAATTTTTACTTTAAGAAATACCCAATAAAAATAAATTGTGCGTGTACTAGGTGTACACACGTAAGAAGAAACTTCTTTATGATCTTATTTTTCGAAAAATGATCTACTATATGCAACTTTACAGAAATTCGTTAAATTAGAATATAAAGTTTAACAAAAGGCTTTTATTATCATAGACATGAATACAAATATTTCATTTTACCTTATTACTACGAAGATTATTATAGAATTTCATTAATTGTAATAGAATTATTACTATCATTGAAAAACGTGACGATTTGCTACAAAATTTCTCCCATACGTCGATAAAGAATTTTCATTCCAACGCCGATAAAGAAGTTTGACTTCAAAAAGCAACATGGCGCGTAACCGAAAAATGTGACGCGTAACGAAAAAATGTTACACTAAATTTTTTCCCACCTCGATAAAGAAGTTTCACTTCAAAAATTCAGGGGGTGCTCACTCACTCCACACACATAGTAATCAGTTACGTTAAATTAAACCACACCCGAACACTCTATACAACCGCTGCGTAGTAACTGTTCTACCTATTACACCACAGACTTCCATTATAGGAAGTGTCAGACGACGTTTTTGTACACGCACAGCTGTTTGCGTGAAGTCTAGGGCTACCGACTACACTCTGTACAGTGTACTAGACTGTACTGTAATAATTCTTGAACAAAGTTACTGAGTCGTGACAAAATAAGCTACTGACCGATGAAAGGTTATGTTTGGTTATTGTTTACGGTTATTGTTGGTGATTGTTTTATTTGTTTACAAATAAAACCCGATACGCAAATAGAGACAGAAAAACTGATACTCTGTTTCGCTCGCACTTAAGTATTTCACGTTAATGCCTTCTCTCTTTAGTTATTATTGTTATTTAGAAGCTCATCTAGTTCTTTACTCTATCTAGGATATATACCAATAAAAATTATAAATAAGAATTATTTTATTCCCTTTTGACACCATCGAATGTAAGGAGGAGAATTGTGTTCCTGTAAGGATTGGTAAAATGTGGAGGCAATTGCGTGAGCTAGACAGATTGCTGTCGTAATGTTTTCTACATACATTTACGCTTATGCGTAAAACTTGTCATTCTATGCACTCCATTCCGTTTCTGGATTTTATATGTTCAATTAATGTAATTTTCTTTTTACAATCAACATACTTAGAACAGCCATTTGAAAGATTTTAATGTACCATTTCACCAAAACAATTTTAAATGAAAACACTTATATACAATACTGGGAAATGGGCAATAACTTGCGTGTGAAAAACAAAACTATAAAACTTTCATGAAAGGGTACTAAATTATATTTATACAGGAAAAGGGAAAATAATGGAATATATATATATATATATAATATATATATAATAGGCTACTCAGGACTAGAATTGGCGATGAAAATATCGGAATAGCGACTGGTCGCCTATTAAGGATGATTCACGCTACACTGTGTCTCGACCGGGCCGTGCCCCGGCCGGGGCACTTTTGTATGAAGTAATTCATGCCTGACCGTGGCTCGGCCGTGTCCTTACCATGTGCCGTCGGGACTCGGCCGGGGCACGGCGTTGTAATGTCGGTGGGTATTGTTTCCCGGCTCCGGCACGGTCCGGCCCCGACACGTCGTAACATGAACGTAGGCGCCCGGGCACCCGCAGAGCAGTCAACGTCAAATCTTAGTGAAGTCTGCAGCTCAACAGCAAAATGGACGATGAAAAATTATTAGAATGTGTACGCAAGTACCCTGTGATTTACGACATGAGCCATCCTAAGTATTTAGATATAATTTTTCAAGTAAATAAGTAAAGAATTCTTTAGACATTCTAAAATAACCATAAAACTTGCTCTCGTCGTCTATTAATTATTTGTAAAGCAAAGAAAATTCCCCTTCTGCTTCTCGCTTTCTCCAGGTTGGATGTACACCCCATCTTCTTTTAGTACTTTCGCTTCGTTTTTCTAATACTTCGTCATCGATGGCAATTGCATTAGCTGCCAATTCAAATTGTGAAAATTGCATAATTACTTAAGCGTCAAGTCTATCGATAGATGAAATCACTAGCTGACAAAAATAGATATAGTCGTGCAAACATGTACGTGAGTACACCCAAACAGCCCGGTGTAACATGAATCACTGTCCAGGCCGGCGCACGGTGGACGTGTCCCGGCCGAGGCCCGGCCCGGTCGCGACACGTTGTACCGTGGATCATCCTTTAGGCTACTTCAAGTCAAGTCAAAAATCATTTAATCATATAGGTAACACAATGTACACTTATGAACGTCAAAAAGAAATGTATATGAAATGCTTCTAACTTTACATTTAGTTATGGACATGTCATGAATGAAAAAATGAACTACTTTTATTAAAAATCATAGTCACTCTAAGATCTATATGAGATATTAAAGTACTAAGTTTTTGGGCGAGGAATAGCCCGAATTTGTCTTAGAAATTATGAAACCAAATTTAGGAGGTAGTACTGTGCAATGTACCTACCTATATTGCTGTTTGTGACTACTGCAATTATCTATATTATATTGACTAAATTCGGGAAAACGTTTTGTGCCTTTCCTTTCGTTCGTGTGGCCATCATTTCTGTGAAAAAAGCATGGCAAAACACGGCAAATATATGAAGCATTATCGCGAAGAATGTGAAAAAATACCAGCATTTAAAAGTAAGTCCAAGAACTAATGTTTTTTACTGTTTAAGAGGGCCCTGTCCTCCAGTCAGGCAAGCAGGAAATCTTTAGGAACTCTTTCGGTGGCGGTAGCGGTTGCGGGTTTGATTCCCGCCTCGGAACAAAATATGTTTGTACGATCTACAGATATTTGTTCCGGGTGTTCTGGATTAAGTATAAATAAAGTTAAAATTAAATATACACTACAATTTTATTTTATTTTTTTATTTCGGCTCCTTTTTAGGCTACACTATCCTGAAATTCGGCTACATTAGGTTACTTATGCAGTAAAAAATGGCGATATCAGTCTCGGTGTCGTTGGCAACACTGGTATTTTTCGTATAAGTAGGCCGTCGGTCTCACTGCTCACATGTATTTAATTTAAGTGTAAAACAGTTACTAATTCAGCTGGTGAGAACCCCGAAATTGTCGGTTTTGGTAAGTATTATATTTTTTAAATAATAATAGTAGATTTTTAACTTCATAAAAATAGTAAATACAAACACATACAATTAGTATACTATTGTTTAAGCCCACAGGTAAAAGATTATTCTAAATATGGTATTCCAAGATTTTCTATGTTTTGCTTTCTCATACTAGCAGTCATTACAAATTATCTTCCTATTTTGTATCTTGTACCTTGTGGGCCCTGTCTATTTAACAACTTTGTGTCTATCTGTTATTAAATATAATAATGTGTAGGGTACTTGGACTGGTGTTCACCTTTTCATACACCTTTCGTACAACTTTTCATTATATTTGAAAGGGAAAAAGTTAATATAATATAAGCAAGGAATATTTTTTTTCCACTTTAGATATCTGTTTTTGTTTTTTTAAACTGAATTGACTGAAAAATCTGAATTGATCTGAAGGAGGGTATCAATTTTTTGCTGTTATAACAACTTCTCTCCATTTTCTTTGGCTTTTGATTTTAGTTATTAAAACTAATATTTTAAGAAGTAAAACTTGACAAAATTTTACATACATACACAAGTGTGTTGCTGGGTAGCTGAACTTTAAAAACTTCATAGTGTGCCCAGTAATTTGTCTCAGTTATTACTATTCTTCTAATTATCCAGTCTTTGTTGTAAGAGATTTGTTTGCAGGCATATTTTGCGGCCTACATGAACAAGGGTATATTTTCCCATTATTGCGGTAGCTGGGTTAGTCATGACTCTTGTTATTTGTCTATTTCTGATAATTATACTATTTCTCTTATAAAGTCATGTTGGGTTAGTAATATTAACACTGTGTTACAGTTATTCTTTAGATCTGTATATATCTTTAAGTGTCAATTTCAGTTCAAAATGCCTATAAATAAATAAATAATATATGTAAATCTTTTGTAAGATATTGAATCCTCTTAAATATATGTTACAGGTGAGACATTTAGCTTGGTAATTTTTTTGTCCAGTACTACCATGGCTGATCAGGCAGCTTTATTAGCACTGGTAATATTATTTGGAGGTATCAGCATACATTTTTCCTTGCATAAGGTAGAAGAAGGACACTTAGCAGTATATTATCGCGTGAGTATGTTTTCAATATTTTGTTTTTATATATTAAAATACTATATCAATCTCTCTTGTCTTTACCATTTTCTTGGCTGAGTAAAACCAGGTGGCTTGTTTTGATGTATTATCAGTGAAATATAGAAGAATTGTTTTGTTAGTATGTACAGTTTATTATAGCACATACAGAAATAAATCTGTTTGCATTATGCTTAACCAGAAATCTTTTTTATATTATTAAATTATGTTAATTTTTGATGATAAATAAAAATATTAGGAAATCAAGAAAACAGCTATTAAATTATTACTTAAAATATAAATATTTAATTAAATGTATTTAATCCTTATAGGGTGGAGCACTTCTTCCTATAACCAGTGAACCTGGATTCCACATGATGTTTCCTCTTCTTACAACATTCAAATCTATTCAGGTATTTAGTGGATTATAAAGTCTATTTGGCTGTATTAACAATTTACTGCACCTAAGTTCTCAATGTTATGTTTACAGACTACATTACAAACAGATGAGGTTACAAATGTTCCTTGTGGTACTAGTGGAGGAGTTCTAATTTATTTTGAAAGGATTGAAATAGTCAATAAGCTGAATCCTTCTAGTGGTTGGTAATGAATTTAAAAAATCTTATCATCTGACATATCTTCTGTTGCTAATAAATTTCTTTAGTTTTAGATATTGTTCGCAACTATACTGCAGATTATGATAAGACACTAATTTTTAATAAAATTCATCATGAGTTAAATCAGTTCTGCAGCTCACATACATTGCATGAGGTTTATATTGATCTGTTTGATCAGATAGATGAAAATTTAAGAACGGTGAGTTTTTTAAACATAATTTTTGTGTTGAACAGTATTTTGATTCAATTAGATGTTAAATTTTTTACTGTTCTGCCTTCGGAGGATTCCTTTTTATCACAATTATGAAATAAATTAATCTTAATCCTATTATTACAGGCTCTACAAAAAGACCTGACTGAAATGGCCCCTGGATTAACAGTACAAGCTGTAAGAGTTACAAAGCCAAAGATACCGGATGTTATCCGCTTTAATTATGAGCTTGTAGAGGCAGAGAAATCTAAACTTCTAATTGCAGAGCAACACCAAAAGGTAAAATCTGTTATTAACTTAACTTCTAGGAAACTGTTATGTACCTACATAATGGTTAGTTATTAGTAATCCCAAGAATTAGGATCATTTTGATATTTGTTAAATTTTAAAAAAAGCTTTATTGATTAATTGTTACTGTAACTGTTTTGAGTATTATACCGGTGAAAGTTACCATTTGTTTTAAAATCGTTTATATTTTTTGTACATACAACACGGCTTCAAGAATATATTTACCAGATAGTATCCAATTAAAATAGTAAAGTAGTAGTAAATATAATAATAATTGTAACAAAAGGGAAAGGCATGTTATGTTTGTATTTGTAATTTTATTATAGCATGGGTAGGAAGGCAACACTCTTCATTATTCAATAATGTATGTGTCGCAGCCAACTAGTAAGCCATTCAAGTAACAGTCTAACCTTTTAACTAAACAGCGCCGTTTAACTAGCAGCCGTACCAGCTAATGATTAGGCCTTTCGACCGATAGAGTGGCCATGTGGCAGAAAAAAGTTGAAACATCTGACATAAAAAATATTAAATTGCTTGAGTCAGACCCTCACAGTCAAATTCACATAATTATTGTCACTACACTCTTTCATTGTAATTGTTGTTTTTCATTAAATTTTGGAAAACACCATCAAAGTTGTGGTTTGCCGACGCCATATTGGCAGAAAGTGGAACTAAATTTAAATTAACAGTCAACAGGCTAGGCAAGTAATAAAACGTCATCGATCCATGTAATTTGCCTAGCTGTTTGATCAACTGGCTCGATATCTTTCAGGCCGCTAGTTAAACGGCGCTGTTTAGTTAAGTGGCTAGGCTGTTAATTGAACGGCTTTTTAAGCTAGTTGGCTGCGACATATGCATTGCCCACAAGCTCGTTAGACTTCTTGTTTAGTCTATAGGCTGCAGGGAACCAAACACATGCTTCAGGAAGAGATTTCATCTTCTTCTTTCTTCTATCTGCATTTTAACTTAAAGATTGACTCTAATGTCAAGTAGGAGTCTGAATTGCAGAACACTTGAACAATCATTCTAAAAACTAACTTTTATTTTTAATAATTGGTAGATTTTTATTACCTACCCAATTTCATTAATTATTTAATTACCATATTAATTATTTCAGGTTGTCGAGAAAGAAGCCGAAACTGCCCGTCGTAAAGCCGTAATTGAAGCAGAGAAAGGTGCTCAGGTTTCTAAAATTCAGTATGAGCAGAAGATTCTGGAAAAGGAATCACGTCGAACAATGGAGCTAATAGAAAATAGTATTCATAAAGATAAGGAACAAATCAAGGCCGACGCGGAATACTATACTGTGAAAAAGCAAGCTGAAGCAAATCAGCTCCTTTTGACCAAAGAGTACTTGGAACTGAAGAAATTGGAAGCAGTAGCTTTGAATACAAAAGTATACTTTGGTGCGGATATACCTAGCATGTTCATGCAAACTAATAGTGAACCTAAAGCCGCTATGCCATAAGTTCAGTGTCATTCAAGTATTTTAATTAAGGAAAGTTTCTAAATAAGACTGTTTGTTATTAAGAGACCTGATTCTTGTCTCTGGACTCACAATAGTACTCAACTGGTTCCATGACAGTAAAGACTGGGCCTAACAGTGTGATGTTAATTATTAAATAATTGTTTAAATGTGTAATTTTTCCGCATTGCTTTTACATAAATTCGTCGAACACTGTACATATTATTCTGTTTAACTTAAAGATATTTTAAGTTATGTTTTTACACAATTTACTCTATACTCTCTCTCTCTCTCTCTGTAAGCAATGCTATTTATTATCTGTATTGTATTGTACTATAATAGCTTTTTTGTATAATTATGCACATAATATTAATTCAAATATTTTATTACAATTGACTGAATTCTAGTCGCAACGTTAATGTTTAAAATAAATTTTGGAATAAATTTTTGGTTAAATTTGTCTACTAATTATTTGTGCCTGAATAAAATAAAACATTTAGATATATTTCGGCATTTAGAAACAGAGTTAGGTTGAGTATAAAATGTCACATTGCGAAAAAAAGTAAAAGTACCTAAACCAAAATATACCTAACTGCCAAACTTCCATGAAATCGACATGAAGTAACAACACTTATAAAAATAAAAACCAAGTTATATAAAGCATATATCTTTTACTTTGATTTGGCATTAGATCATTTTAAGGTCCTATCCCAGCACGAATTGCTGTGTTAGTGTCTCGGGGTGGTCTGCGGGGCGCCGCGCAGTGGAGAGCTGGAGCACTGAGGCGCGCCCGTAATAAGAATTAGTTATGTAAAACATTAAATTAATGTAATTTTATCATTTTTCTTTCTCTGTATTTCATGCACTGTATAAACTGTGCATTTATATTTGCATTAGAAACCTACAACTGGAACGCAGTGACGTAAATTTTTGATCTAGAACTAAAAGTTTCTTCTATTTCTTGAAAACTATGGTCCTAATCTACGTAAACAATATATATACTGCTCAAAACAATTAGCGGAACAAGATTTTTCTCCTTTCTATTGCTTAAACTAAAATTAGATTTAAATTAACTTGTACGCTATTTTTTACCTTGTTAATTTGTTAATTACTACAATTAATAAAAAAAATCAATTTGTATTTTTTTTATTAAAAAAAAATTAAAATGTGCATTGTAGACGAAAAACTAATTGGTGATAAAAAAGGTCCATCAAAGAAATATTCTTATATCGTTTGAATATTCGTCTTTAGTGACTTTCAGTAAAGTGTGTGGCCTACATGAGCCCTAATCACGGCTTGACAACGACGCGGCATGCTTCGTATGATCCTCCGAATATCTTCTTGTGGAATTCGCTCCCATTCTTCAATCAACGCTTCCGGATGCGCCTGTCAAGCAAGTCCCAAATGTGTTCAATTGGATTTAGGTCAGGGCTCATGGAAGGCCACTCCATTACACGGATTTCCTGCGGTCGTAAGTAATCTGACGTGATGGCTGCAGTATGCGGCCTGGCATTATCTTGCATTAAAAGAAAATCTGGGCCCATACCATATGCTGCGGGCCAAACATGATCTTCGAGCACATTTTCGATGTAAGTTTGAGCACACAAGCGCCCGGGAACAACGACGAGATCTGTGCGCTCGTCCAAACTAACTCCGCCCCAAACCATCACAGAGCCACATCCAAATTTGTCATATTCCTGGACTGCTGCTGCACTGTATCGCTCGCCTGGGCGTCTGTAAACACGGAGACGACCATCGCAACGTGTTAGACGGAATCGTGATTCGTCAGGCTATAGAAAATGTTAGTTATTATTATTAATTGAAGTGAAACTTCTTTTCGACGTATGGGAGAAATTTCATAGCAAATCGTCACGTTTTTCGGTTACGCGCCATGTTGCTTTTTGAAGACAAACTTCTTTATCGGCGTTGGAAAAAAATTGACCGTCACATTTTTCGGTTACGCGCCATCTTTTTCATGCCCCTACCACGGTTGATCCGAAGAGATTCGAAGCCATTAATAACAAAAATATATAATTACGATAACAATGAAATAATTGTATTTGTATTCATGTCTATGATAATAAAAGCCTTTTGTTACACTTTATCTAATTTAACTTTATTTAACCAATTTCTGTAAAGTAGGTATAATAAGTATAAGGTCATAAAGAAGTTTCACTTCTTATGTGTGTACACTTAGTACACGCACACATTTTTTGTTATTATTAAGTAATCATTACTATATACTACTGCACCCATCCATTCATCCTGTAGTTGGTAGCGTACCTGGAAAGCAGTAATTAATAAAACTCGACCCACTTAATAAAACTGTACCTATTCCGCGCGATGGCTAGCTAGTGGTCTGAGCCGCACAGGCCCGCGGCGGTGTTTAGGGTAAAGGGTAAAAAAATCGGCTTTCATAAACGAAGAAGTGAATTCCACAATGGCAATACTTGTGAAGTGAGTGACTGTTTCAAATACTTAGTACAAAACTTTCCGATCGTAGCTAAATACTTTAGTAGAGGTTTCGCGGTGCGCCGCGCTGGATCGCATGAAGTCAATTTTAGGCCTATAATATAAATATATTAATTAAAAATAAATATAATACAATACCTGCGAAATAATAAAATGCTTTCAATATTTATAATGACGCACTCACTATGGCTAATATATGATATTCCTTAAAAAATACCTAATTCCGTAATAGCAATAACTGTAAAGGGGTAAATTATATTATGCGGAAGGTGCCCTGAGCAGCACGCAACCTGCGAGTTCGGCGGTTCTCATCAGCATTCTCTATAGCTTTAGTTAAGACATCCCAATTTGATATCTTTCTTTGGCGAGGCCGTTAACGTCTCTCTAAGTCCCTTGTCCAATTATAAAAAGCAGGCAATTATTAATTATATGACGAAGGCATATATATCAGTACTGAAGGGGTGGTTACACATATACATTATGTGATTCATTTATAAAATACACAATGGGTTAATTAACGGCTCTGGTCCGTCGCATTTTCTTTTGCAATATCTGCTTAAACGTATTTACCAATAAATTTGTACGCATATTATATGTCAAACGTGTAATAACATTTTTAATAAACATTCAAATCTGGAACGCTTCAACTCACAGCCTCAAATCATCCTCGTACAACACACAGACTTGTGCCTCTCCAACCCTAAAACAGCGCTGCAACGATTGGACCTGACACCTGGGAAAGCATTTATTGATAATTGAAAAATTTCTATGCCCATAGCTTTAGTCGACAGTGCGTCAACATTCGACAGTGCATTTCTCTCCCGCCTAAACTTATTTTCCCGAATGATACTACGAAGTTATATTTTATTATCAAAATAATTTTAAAATACAAACAATTGTTAGCCAAAAAAATTAAGTAACGTATATTTCATAAGTGTACATTGTGTTACCTATATGACATAATAATTTTTGACTTTGTCTTTGAGTAACCAAGCTTTTCAATAAATCGTTAAATGTCGGTTGAGAAGATTCGCTCGCGTTAGCTTTGGTTGACGCACGTGTTAGTGAGATTTTCGTGTTTTTCTAGGTGTTTCTGGGATTTTCCTAAGCTGAAATAGTTGTTATTGTGCTATTTAGATAAAACTAACCCTATTGGTGCTGGTAAAGTATAAAATTTAAATTAATATAGTTGCTGCAGTTCTACTAATATGGATCTAGATCCTGACCCCGAGCCTCCTGACCCGGGAACTCTTTCTATGTCTCGCAAACGACAAGGAGAGGAGAGAAATGTACCTTCCTCTAAAAAAACTATTACGGATCCCGCTCAGGCGAACCCGTCTATACAACACCTTTATGTCCACCCCTCCTTCTCCGATGGCCCTCGGTCTTACTCTAATGAAGATAAAGGTCCGTTCATTATCCAAGTCTCCCGTGAAGTAGAAGACCCATCATCCGGAGCCTCTTTACGTGCTATTACATTCGGCCAGTTTATGCATAAGCACAAAATTAGTTCTATCATACACGATGGTGTAAAAAATGTAGGCCGTAATAAAATCACCGTTGAGTTTTCTTCTGCTGAAGCTGCCAACAACTTTCTGGTCAACCCGGTTCTTAGTATGTGCAAGTTTAAAGCTATTATCCCCACTTATAACATAACCAGAATGGGGTTGGTCAGAGGTGTACCGGTGGACTGGTCAATGGACGAACTCGTAAATTCATTAGAGCTTCCTCCTGGATGTGGTGAGGTATTAAAGTCAAGGCGACTGAACCGAAAAACAGTTACTGAGGGTGTCACCACCTGGGTGCCTACCCAATCTGTCGTCCTTACCTTCAGGGGGCAAATGCTCCCTGCCAAGGTTTACTCCTACCACACTTCCCTCCCTGTCGAAACCTACAAACTTCCTACCATACAGTGCCTGAACTGCTGCCGTTTTGGACATATCAAATCGATCTGCCGATCTAAGCCCAGATGTTACAAGTGTGCTCAGCCTCATACAGGTGATACGTGTGAAGTCACCTTAGAAACATCCACATGTTTACATTGCTCAGGCAAACATTTTGCTTCTGATAAGGGTTGTCCAGAATTTACTCGACAGCAATCCATAAAAATGGTGATGTCCCAGGACAACATCTCATACGTTGAAGCAGCAATTAAGTTTCCTCCTGTCCGACGTTCATATGCTGAGATAACAAAAGAAATGTTTACCCCTCCTGCCTATTCTCTAAAATCTCCTCAAAAGCCCAAACTCCTACCAATACTTCCTATCGCCAAACAATTTATCGCTCCCCTCGTCCCCAAGCTCCTCTAGCAAAGGGGTACGATAGAACAGCTCACCAGACTATTGTTGGTGAGTGCCCCTCATCCCTCCCAAATGGTTGTGCTCTCAACAATAATGTTGACACCCTTCCCTCTCAGGGCAAAATGTTAGAATTTATTTCTGAATTTCTTCTAAGTATTGTCGCTCCATGTAGCGAAATCCCCCTACCGCCCAACGTTGCCAAAAACCTATCCCAACTTTTTAAATTATTAC